ACCACTCGCTATCGTGGCAGAGGGGGACCAACGAAGCGATTCAAAGATTGCCTGAAAAAACCTTGGTTGCCTGTCACATTAACCATTGCCAATGTTCAACACTAGCCAAGAACCGTGACGCCTGGCGTCTCACCACAAACCATACTGTCTCCTTCTTTGAAAATACCTGCAGGGCTGCTCTCAGGGACAAGAGACATGGGAGGAAGTACTGCAATGCTATACTATCAAGCCCAGGCCAGACTTTTAGCTGCAACTACTGCCACCGAGTATGCCTGTCCCGCATTGGACTTATCAGTCACAAACGTGCCTGCAAGCGACATGTAAAGACTCCCTCGTAATCTTCGTTATGCGAAGCCAAGCCATGACGATGACAAGAGATTAGTCAGATATCTCAGGAAGGATTAAAAATTTACAGAATATGTCAGTGCTATGTGATATCAAGCTATTAAGGACAGTACTGGAGTACTACCCTGTTCACCTGTTTGTTCAGCACAGGCTAGCAAAGTGGTCTGCCCTACCACTCTTATTACATTTTTTCTACTAGCTATCCCTTCCGTAGTGTCTGGTCAAGCTGCACATGTAACGCATACTGTTTGTGGGATTGTTTATTCGTATGTATACTGTATATATACACATACTACATATATTACGCGCGCACACACACACACACACATGTGTATATATATATATATATATATATATATATATATATATATATATATATATTATTTCTTGTAGAACTCAGTGTTTCAGTTTTTATGGACGAAATTTTCAGACCAAAATGGCTTCTGATTAATGATCCAAATGCAGACCATTTCGTGTCATATTCTCATTGATCAATCAACCATCGTTCAAATTATAATTTCCGTAAGTGTGGGAAAAACCCTTCTAATTACCCGATTCGGCATTGCTTAGGTAGTTCCTCTATGAAGTTTTGATTATCAGCTGCTTGTCAAAGACTAGGAAATGATTGTGTGGACAGAATGATTTGTCGCAAAAGCACCTGTTGCGCCGATAAGTTTTACCATGTCTTGTCTCCACTTGAAAGGATCGACCTAATTGCTGAATAACCTCAGCCTAGTGGTTGGAATCGGACAGTATCATCCATTCGAAGGTTTTTAAGTTCACTGTCTGAGTCCTGGTATATCAGCCTCTTTTTTTTCTTTGTTTGCCCCATCTTCTGTAGAGTAATGGTAGTGCAGCCGACATTTGTTTTCTGTTGCCGGGAACAGCGTTTTGGTTCGCCTGCCAAATAGTCTCTGTGCTGGATATGTCTTTAACCCTTCAGATGAAAGAGTTCCTTATGTTCAACAGTCCTATGAGGGGATCCTCTGCAGAGGCTCTGCGCCATAAGCGCTTCATCGTTTTGACATCTGCTTCTGCTGCTCCATTAACTTGGCTATTACTTGGTGAGATCGTTTCATGTCCAAACATCCATTCCTTGGTAAATTTCCTGAAGAGGTAGGATGTGAATTGAGTCCCATTATCAGAGACTATCCCACAGCGTGCAACCATGGTATTTCTTCTGTTTCAATTCAGGTTTCTATTGCCTGTCGGTCTGAAAATGTTCATGTGGCACAAGTTTTCACATATTGCCTAATTTCAACTGACATGCTTGGCTAAAATATCAATTCTCTTTCTCTCCGCAAACAAATATTAATATCCAGATGACCAGTGTGAGCTTCCATCTTCATTTTTAGTCACATAGCACTGAAATTGGCAATGCTTTGTCCACGCAATCTTAACCCGTTCTGTACCATTAGCTCATCCGGATATTCGAAGAATGGTTTTATGTTATTGAGTATCTGTTTCTTTTCATGAGGCCACCTCTTAGCAATAACTTTAACAAACGCCATCATTGTTGCGTTCTCCGCTGTTCCTGCATATTTGTGCCGAGCTATGATTTTGTATTGGAGGTAATGATTACCACCAGCAGTTCTTCATGTGTAGACTTACTTATTGGCGTATGAGATTAGGTATCAGCAAGGAATCCATGAGGAATGGTATTGTTGTGTCCGCATCAGGAGTTTTGCAGTCTTTTTGTTGCTCTTGATAATGGCTTTGCACAAATGGACACTAGTGGTTTGTGAAATATCAGAACTTTCCCGTGCCTTCCATACATGTAGTGATGGAATTTCTTCAGGCCATACATCATTGGCAATATTTCTTTTTCTATTTGTGCATATCGTTTTTCTGCTTCTGACAATGAAAAAACTTGCATATGCAAAAGGTATCATAGACTGTAATCACAGGCATCATTTTTCAGCAGCAGATCCTCCTGTAGACTGTAATATAGACTTGTAGACTGACACAGTAATAATTAAGTCTTTCACTAAGTTGATTGTCCTTGATAATGATAGTGGTTAAATTTGGAATAAACTCATCCACATAACTGACGATCCCGAGAAATCTACGCAAGCTTCCCACGTCTTCTTAGGTAGCCATGTTTCGAATAGCATGCACTTTCACTGGGTCTGCCTCAATGACTTTGCTGGTTATTTGATGCCCCTTAAAGGTGATAGAATCCAAACACATCTTAAATTTTGCAGGGTTGAGCTTGACCCCAGTTTTACGGCATCTTTCAGGCAGCAGCTGTACTCATTTTTTCTGAGTTTGACCGAATACCTCCAAGTCATTTAAAATGATAGCTGTTGCTTCCATGCTTCAAAAGTGATTGTAAATTCTCTTCCGAAGCAGAATTCAAACAAAATGGCAATCTCAACCAACGAAATCGACCAAACATGTCTGGAAAGTAGTTATCTCTGAATGCATCAAGTTTAACATGCAAATATACTGAAGATAAATCTGCCTTAGTGAATATTTTGGCATTTTTCATATCGTGTAAAACATCTTTTACAATAGGCATAGAGTAGTGCTCACAGAGGAGAGCTTTGTTAAGTTCATGAAGGTCCAAACCTGACCAACTGACTAACCCATGGCGTTGGCTTCTCCATGGTTTCAGTGACATCTATTTTATTTAGCCACTTCAGTTCTACTTAGTTGTGTTCGGATTGAAAGAGGTACTCTTCTATTTACCATCGCTACTGGGACAACATCAGGTTTCAGCTGCAATGATGTTACTCCGGGCAGTTAACAAAGTTTGTCGTCAAAAACTTCTTTGAAATCCTGCTCCACAGTTACAGCAACGATGCGTTAAAAATTCTTGTCCCTAATTTCAACAAGGCCCATCTGACCTAATAAGGCCTGACATTTATTTTCATAATTAAAAATCGGGAATTTGACAGAGTAGCTTTGATATTTCTTAAGGTTTTGATGATCCTTCAGCACACACCCAGTGGTTTCACTAGAGATTTGTTCCACATTGTTAGCACATCCTGATACGGTATAATGGGCTTCCTATATTTTTCAGGGAACATGATAACAGTTGCTTCTGTATCAATCTGGAAGATTAGTTTCTCCTTTTCCAAAATCATGCACTTGACGTCCTTGCTTTTCTTTCCTGCAAACTCAGCATTTGGTCAATGTGGATGCCCATCACATCAGCATCCATTTAGTGCAAACGAGACTGGTAAAAATTTTCTTTATTCTCCTTTTGATGGGATTCACAACTTTTCTTTCTGTGCATATTTCGTTTTAAGTTATGGCTCTTGAACTAAAAATGGTTTTTCTCATTACAGGACTTGACGTACGCAGTGTACATGTGATAGAAACCATAAACTGGCGTTTATGGCGTTTTTCTTTATTTCAGACACCTTAATTACGTAAACATGAGCAAACTCGGTCCTCATACCTTAGCACTGAATTGAATTTTCAGTAGGTACTGCTGTGTATCTTGATCCCCCATCAGATTTGGTCTCTCATAAGAAAATCTCGACACTTGTCACAAAAATTGCAAGTCTTTTTAACAGAACACGCATGCTACTAAAAAAATTGTCAAAATCTCGCCCTCCTCTTATTTTCTCTGTCAAAGTATTCATAGGTTTCGTTAGTGACACCAATTACATACTCATTCAAAGTATCTATAATTTCCTGGATCATACGTTCTGGCTTGGCTATCGTAAATTGCATACCTCATGGCATCCTTAATAAGGCAATTCTCAAACATGCCACTCGTATTTCTCTGGAGCTTCTACTTAGTTGTCAAAAGAGTATAGTTCATCCATCGATTGTGAAACAGCTTTCAAGTCCCGACCTAAAATCAAACGTTCTGCGTGTCTAATGTGCAAACCTGAAACACCATCAGACATGTCACAGTAGTCACTTGAGCGCTAGCCATTGTGGGAGACAACACGGTGAAATCGATTAAAATCTTGACGAGTAAATTTCGGTGTGCACTCCTGCACACGTGGAGATCGGCTCACTACTTCACAAAAATATTCGACAATAAAAGATCAAATGTATCTCATGTGAGTGTGTACCAGCAGGAATCCCAACCATAAACATCGAGCAGGGTCCGGCAACCATCTACCATCATGTTATTCAGAGAGTGCCAGGAATAAGGATGTAACAAGAGATGAGATCAACGCTTCATTCAAATTCTATTGACCGAAAAACCGCTTGGTCCCAAGGAGACTGAACTTACTTCCGTTAAGTATTCACTTAACAGACTATCGTATTCCACTTTATTTATTTCTGTAGAATATCGCTCTCAGTCAATGTAAAAGTGCTTTTCTAACAGGTTTATTGATGGTTATATAGCTTGCTTTTTAGTGTCTTTTACCAGGATTTTTATGTCGACAAGCGTTTTTACCATTTCACTATCTTCTTTCTCTTCTACTTTTATATTTAGTTCCCCCATGATGATAAGTTTTACAACACACGAGAAAATACCAAAAGCAATGTTCTAAAATTCGATATCCCGATATGATCTTTCTTCATAGCAATGCATAACTGAACTCTTTGTTACAACTTTAAAATAGAGCATTTTATTAATAAAATATTTCTTTTTCTTAGTGTTGGACCGACATTTTGACGATTTTATAGTCATCTTTGATGTTGGTTGAATATTTTTAGAATACATTTAAGTTTTTCATTGCCAGAGCCAACATCAAAACAAGTAAAGCCCTCCGCTACATTGAAAACAAGCATCTCAGAATTTGGTTGGCGTAATAATAGGAATCACAGACCTCTACCTATTTTACCAAGACAAAGAACATACTCTGCACCAGAGGCCGATCAGTATATTCCAATGAATGCTTCAAGTCACTCATCTTGCAGCAAAACAAATACACATGAAAATATTATGGCTTTCAAACAGCAAGGTACGTAAAACTTTTATCTTCAAATTTCTGTCAGTGTTCATATTTTTACCTTCCATAATTAATAAAAATAAAAACTTGTCAAATAAATAGTCAAAATGCATATGCTTGAGCATGTTGAACAGCTTAACTGTTCAAATATTTTAAGGTCGACAACGTTCACGAAACTGGATGCATATGAGAAGTCATTTTTCACTCTTATAGAGTGTATAAAGTTGGTTGTTTGTCCATGAATTACTGAATTAAATCTACATCCAATAAACCATGAACAATAGTTATTTTTGCAAAATTTGTTGCCAATTATCTAATTTAAATCATTAGTGAATCTCTTGACACGATAAGATTAGAAGACTCTCGTAGAAAATGAGAAGTAATAAAAGAAAAACAGCATGGTGGACTTAACTATACTCGTTATATATCAGTATATTACTGTAAAACAGAATCTCAACTGAGATTTACTTCTCACCAGTGGAATACGGAAGCAATGGGATGGTTTGCTACAATGCGAGTGGCATGGCGGGTCCTAACTGTGATAATTAGAACTGGTGGAACTAAGGAATGTAGAGCACATTCTAGCTATAGAGCAGCGAAAGGCTTGCTACATTATAAGGATTATCGAGTGGAAAACAATTTGTTACTCACAAGGAGACAAGAAGACAATGAAAACACTTTTGGACTTTATCAATACTGGAAATTGAGGATTGGGCAGCTGCTACCCAGATATGACAGCAGTGCTCCATTTTAGGCCTGATCTGGCTCTTGTAAAGTGTTTCCCTCTAATGAGTCTATTGTGGATTCTTCCACTTACTATAAAGTAGTAGGAAAGTAAGCCTCGGGGGAATCCGTGATATAGACTGTTCAACTGTCAAACTCTCTGTCTTTGGCAGAGGGGAACTCGGACGAGGCTGTGCCGAAGGACAGAGTCTCCTTCGGGGAGGTAGACAGACGAGGACCTATCTGAACGCTGATCAACCGATATACACTCCAGGTTGTATAACACACTTCTGTTGTATTTACTGTTCAATACACTATTTATTTGCAACCTCTTGTTTTGTTATTCCTTAACCAATTACTTGGTCACAACATAAAGATAGAGGATAGCACGAGGAGTCAGGTACTTACTGGAGCGTTTTTCCTGTCTCTTTAGCAATGGATCGTATGTACGAGTTCCACAAACAGGGACTTTATTTTGTTGCTCGTTGTAAAATAATTTTAAAAAAATACGAAAAAAAGAAGTAAGCGGTTATTTGTTTGCCAGTGGGGGCGTTTAAGTCTCCATGGACAAGGAAAATATTAGTCCAACGCCGCCGGTGTCGTCAGTAACAACGGCCTGGTGTGAAAATGGACCCAAGAAAAAGGACGCTGATTACTATGCAGGACAAATGGACAAGGAAACTTTCAAGGAGAATGAATTCCTTACTATCCCCGAAGCATTTCAGGCCGTCAACACGAAGACTTCCGACATAAAAAGCGGTAAATTAATTAGAGTCAGCAGGGAAACAATTGAAGAGGTCCTGAAGACCTTGAAAATAAGCCCAAAGGAAAACAAATGCCATATGGGACATTCTTCTTCCCACAGAACATGACGCCAAGCAAATGGCAGGTAGTATTTGGACTACCAAGAATCTGAGATTGCAGACTGAATGCATGGGCACTCGAAAGACAAACATTACAGTCCATGGGGTGCCCGTAGATGTCTCCGAAGACAGAATGGGAGCATTCTTTTCAAAGTTTGGCAGGGTCAACGAAGTGAAAGAAATGGTGGGAAAAAAAAAAGTAAAAAGCAAAAAGAAAAAAAATGTTCCCCGGTCCAGAAGCAATATGCAAAGTGAACAAGGAGAAATTTAAGAGGGGCCTGTCCAGCCAAAAAAGGCTAAATTGAGTCTCTTATTGAAAATGACATCTGTAGATGGGAAAACCGTAGAAGATCCACGCAACTTCTCCAGGTGTAATTACTTATGTGAGAGACACTGGGGGGAACTTGAAGGTTTGGAACCATTTAGCAGAAGCTAAGGACTCCTTCCCAAATCTAAGAATGATGGAGATAGAGACGATGTACTTGAAAAAATTAAGATAGTATTGTGCTGGGAGGGTCCCGGTTTTGTTCCACTCCTCTCTATATGTGTGTAAAATTAACCTATTCCACGGACGTCGGCGTAGTGGTGCTGGAGGGGCGGATGGCGTCTGCTCTGTGACCTCTTGTCGTTCGGTGTGGATGTCGTCGCGGTCCAAGAGACCCACTTTGTTTGCAGCGCCGATGCGTGTGTGCTGTCTAACGACTTTGTCGTCTATTCAGCATATGGGGACCGACTTGCCAGAGGAGTTTCTTGATTCGAAGGTGGACCTTTTGCATACCGATGCCGAGGGCCGGTTGATCGTGGCCGATATTGCCGTGAAAAGTGGTTCGTTTCGAGTCGTTGCGGTTTATGCGCCCAACGACCAGGAAGAGTGGGTCTCGTTTTTTCGGCAATTGGGGCCGTTTCTGGTGGATTCAACGCGCCTAGTCTTAATGGGGGACTGGAATGCCATTCTTGACACAAAGTTAGATCGGGGGCGGGGTGCTAGCGGGTGTCGTGTCTTGGTTGATCTGATCAACGAATTTGGTCTCGTTGATAGATACCGGGTCGATCACCCCGGAGTGGGGGGGGAGGCATGTGGACGTGGGCTCTTAGTTGGCCTTCTGACCGGGTGGTTAACTACCTGGACAGAATGTTAGTTAGAGGAGCCGACGTAGACTTGTTAGATTGTCCCACGTTCCACTGGATAGGCTATTCGGACCACAAACTCGTTTGTACCCGGATGGCGTTAGATTGTAGGCCTAGAATGGCTGATTACTGGAAGTTCAATCTGTGTTTACTGGACAGGCGGTATTTCCGAGAACAGGTAACTAGCCTAATGCAGCAAGAGCTAGTGGGGGCGGTTATCGGGAATAAGTGATGGGATAGACTTAAGTGTAGGATTAGGTCCTTCATCACGGATTTCAGCAAACGGCTCGCCCTAGATAGAGATGAGAAGATGAAGACGCTTAAGGCTAGTCTTTTCCGGGCAGTGGCTGGGGGTCCTCTAGAGATAGCCTTAGCTAGGGAGGCCGTGGAGCGTTCGAATAGCGAGCGCTACATGAGCAGGCAATTAGACGTAGTTTAAGCAAAATGTTTTCTGAAGCGGTGAACATGGGCGCAAACCTGTGAAAGGAAGAGGTCCGTCGAGGGTCCGATCGGTACATTCGTGAAGTCAAAACCCCGGAGGTGTATACTCTTCGGGCCACTGACGACATGTGCAAGGCGTTTTGGCGGGATTTCGGAGCCTGGTTATCGTGAGGACGAGTTTCGCAGCTATTTGGCTGACTTTCCTCGGCTTTCACCGACTGAAGCGGCTAGCTGCGAGGGAGAGATCACGGAGGGCGAAGTCTACGCGGCATTGAAGAAGGTCGGCAGAGGCAATTCGCCCATTCTGGATGGTTTGCTTTATGAATTGTACTTGAGGCTGTCGCACATATTTGTCTCGAGTTAAAGATTTTGGTTAAGATCCTGCACGAGCGTTTGCAGTCAGTTGCCGAGAAGCTGTTGGGTCCTTGGAGTGTGGTTTGGACCCGAACTCCAGCTGGAGAAAAAGTGGTTTGAAGTACGAGCTAAGGTCGACGCAGCCGGTCAGACTTGGCGTCGACGGAGGTTGTCCTTGAAGAGCATGGCGGAGGCGTGTGCCACTTACGTTTTCCCGATTGTCCTTTATCGATTGTCCGTACTTCCTCTCTGTAAGGATCATAGAAAGCCGCTCGAGCACTCGCTATCCTCCATTTTGTGGAGGGGTCAACAGAGAAGCCTGTGCACAACGACCGTGTCATGGGGCGCCGGGAATGAAGCACTTGGTGAGCCACAAACTCTCCTCGAGGCTGGCTTTCTTACGCCGCGCATTGACAGGAGATTCGATTATGGCGGGGATTGTTAGGGACGCGTTCCCTTTACTTACTATCAACCCCCCATCTTGGAGGTTGAGCGCCATCGTAAACCCCTAGATCAATCAGATTTCCTTCGTGAGTGTCGTCACGCCTTGACGATCATTCCTCGGTCTAGTGACATTTCACAGATTAGGAGGGTCTTCTATAGTTATTTTGTGGAGGGTGTCGCGAAGGATCCTCTACGTGAGCGGCTCGACTTGTCGTGGGAGGAGTTTCGCTCCTTCTGGTCTTGGGTGCCAGCGGCGGATTATCTCAGTAACCCTGAGTTTTCGCTTACCTGGAGATTGGCTGCCTCTCAATGACAAGGCCTTCAGATAGGGCTTGGCAGATTTACCAGACTGTGAACAGTGTGACCTTGGTTTGGAAGAAACGGCTTCGCACGCCTTCTACCATTGTCCTCGGGTCTGCCCTTATGGGACTATTTTGGCGAGCTGACGGCTCGTCTCGCTCCTGAAAAGCTCATGCTCATGGATCGCGCATACGCGTGTGACAATGTGTCGACCCCGTATTCTGGGGTGAAACGAGTGGTGTTTCTGACGCTGCTGGCCACGGCCCGAATGGTGATTTAGACGATGCGAATGGAGAAAGTCTTGCGAGGCAACCGTCTTTCTCATCAGGATCCGATTCTTTGAGCATCAGCTCAAGATGAAGATTAGAACTGATAGAAAACGATTGCATTCGACAGTTTTCAGCGAAAGGTGGATGACTGAGACTAGCTTGGTTCGTTTGAACGGGGCTAGCCTTGATTTTCTCTTTAAGGTCAAACTACGTCACATCGGGGTCGTTTCCCGCGGAGCCCTCCCCTTGGTTAGGTTCGACAAGCTTTTGTGTACCTAGTTAATGTGAGTAAGTGTTGTTCCTGGCTTGTTCCCGGCTGCATCTTTGGTTATGATCCAAGTTGGGATTCCCAACCTCCCCAGTTTGTTTTGGCCCTTTTATCTCGACTGGGTCAGCTTTTTCTTTCCCATGTCCGTATATATTTTCTCCTTTTCCCACTCCCTTAGTGAGAGAGCTTCTTGATTTTGTCCAATGGGCAGAATACAGCGGCCTCTCTTTTTTTAGGGTTGGACGGGCCCTACTAACATCAGTTATGTTTAGTTCACTTTGTGTTCATGTTTAGTTTGTTATTGGGTTCATCTCCCTTCCCTCTCATTTTTCATCTTTAGAATTGTATATATAATTTATTATCATTAAATTTTTATGACATGGGTCGCGTTTCATAGGTTCCCCTTGAGAGGATGTGGTATTATGGTGTATGGACGATTGATTGGTGACGGAGGAGTTTTTATGGTGAATGGGTCGTGAATCGGATTAGCTAGGTATAAGATAGTTAGTGAAGACCAGCCTCAACCCCTCCCCTTTTACGGCCTTGTGCCATAATTGTATTTTTATATATAATAAATAAAGGTACCCAGACGCCTGAACGGTCGGTACGCAAGCTCCTGGCCTTTATGGGCTACGTATTAAGTTACGCCCCATTTTTTTTTTTTTTTTTTTTTGTCTGCTAACTGGACGCGAGTTGGATCTTTCTCTCTTTACTTCGCCTTTTTACTTCTGGCTCCTTACCCATGTTTCGACTCTCGGCATTTTCCGTCCCTATTGGCTGCCTGATCATTGTCCATAACCTTTCCCGTACACTACGGTTATGATTATTACGGAAAGTTTCGATATCGGACTCGACCAGCAGACACGCAATGCCAGCACCGGACATTCGATATGCCCAACAACATCACAACGCCAGCTCCTCGTTCCTTCCTGACACGTCCAGTCCAAAACCTGACCAACTAACCAGCAGCGGTCACCTGCAGCGGCCAGCAGCAATCATCTGCAACGACCAACCTTTCCCGTATACTATCGGTTGTAATTACTACGGGGAGTTTCGACACCAACCTCGACCAGCAATGCCTGCACTGCAACGTCCAACCGTCGACACGACCGGAACTTCTGAACCTCAATTCCAACCATCGACACGACCAGTCCGACCACCATTACCACGATTGCAAGACCAATATACCACAGCCTCTTCTTTATAAATAAACTTAGCATTAATCATACATATCCTCGTTCTATTGTCCATTTTGTTTCGCCTTGTCAGATTTCAGCTCATTAATTCGAAAAACGTTAGCTGGCCTCTTGTGACCACATCAGTAATGATACGTGGGCGCTCGGTCCGGAGTTTTTATATCGCGCCCTTCTCCAGGGCGTACACTATAATCCTTTTCTTCTTCTACAACAGCAATCTTCACAACACAGATCAGAACTCTTCTCGCCGGAGTAAGCAAATCTGGTCCCTGATCAAAAATTTATCCCCTGGGTGTGGTATATTACTTTGTGAAATTGACGTGAAAATTTTCCCTCTTGATTCGCTTGGAGTCACGTGTTTGCTATATATAGCAAACACGTGACTCCAAGCGAATCAAACCTCAGTCTTTAGTTAGTGGGTATATACTTTTTATTCCCATTATTTAAAAACTCGAGAATCAATAAGCAATCAAATTGCCAGTTTGCAATTTAAATTTGGATGGTTTGACCACATCAAAGTTGAACCTCGTTTTGTAAATCTTTTTCAGATATTGTTTAAACTGTCTGGCTTCCTTCTGACATGTTTTTATAAACACTCTGGCTTTATACACTCTGGCGGGGTTTTATAACATCAACTTGGAGCTTCTGTTTTGTTTTTTTGTTTTTTTTTGTTTTTTTAATCTTTACACAAATTTTTATTCATGTTTTTTATTAACAGTTTGGCGGTTTCAAAGAAACTGTGTTAATAACATTTAGTAACAATTACAATTTTTAAAATTATTTTTAATGGAGATCTGAATTAGACAAAATATCGTTTGAATGACTTGTCACAAACTGGTGAGGTGAATTAAATTTTGAGATTCTAGCCAGACTATCATCTGCCACACTTCTCATAATGTGCAACAATTATAGTTGAATTAAAGTAGATAAATTAAGTTTTGTAGCACTCCAAGTATTCCCTCTCCCTAAAAGCAGGTTTTTATTTTAAAAAACTACCACCTAAGGTTAAATATGTAGAAAAGTACCTGAACAAAATTGTCCACCGGAAAATGAAAACCAACACACACTAGGATAAACATATTTCAGTTTTTTCATATATGCATCCTGTTTATGTTTAATATTCTCCCCATTCTTTTTAATAGTCAGCCCAATATATTTAAATTCTGCTATTTCTTCAGTATAAGCTTCAGATAGTTCATAAATGTTGTCTATAACATTAACTTGAAAATCTTCTGTCCCCACAAAGCATAAATTCCAATAAACCAACCTGTCAAATTGTTTGCTCTATAAAAATGCAATATTTTATGTTCATTAATTTGCATGTCTAACCATGTCATTCTATAATTCCTAACAATATATAAGGACTGTGGTTTTTGTTTAGCGGCATATCAACTTTGTACATGTTCTGAACAGAGTCCTTATATATTGTTAGGAATTATAGTATCACCTGATTAAACAATTCTTTTTATTTTGAAACTCTACTTCATCAGAATCTTTTCATACTTCATTGTAATGATGACTTTTAAGGTCGAGCATAAATAAAAGGTAAAACTATAAAAGGAATCCAGACAATAAAAGTAGAATTTATAGTTGACCACAATATTTGTGATGTAATTTTTAAGGCTCATACTAGTTCCTTGACATGGGCTATGGGAACGTATGAATTAGCTCAAAGAAAAATTCTCACTAAATATAACAGGTCTACATTGTTATGCAACTAGGAGTTGCTTTTTCTTGTGTGTTGCATTTGCTACACTCCACTTACTGAGAGTTTCCTTGAAAAGAGGTAATCTAGTGAATCAATGAGTATTATACTGCATGATAATTACTACTACATTCTCCCCTGTTTTATAAGTCTAAATGTTGAGGGGACAAATAGTCTGTAATGATCATCTGACAACTATGATATTAGCATCTGTGGTGTCTCAGTCCAGCATTTCTGATTTTTGTGTAATTTGGTTCTCTTCATTACTACCAGTGCCTGAGTGAGGTCCCAGTTTGGTTCCAGTTATAGATTTTACTTGTAAATTCATTTTTATGAATTCTAGTAGAGGTAACAAATCCCTAAAGGAAACAGTGTCTTCCTTGCAATCCAATTTTTTTTCTACTGGGGAATGATGCTGTCCCAACGCATTTAATGTTTGAAACCAAAATGTCACTTGCCAGCCTCTTGGTTTAAAGTAGCCACTATATACTGGTTGCTTGCATCAGTCTGTACCTGAAAATGTTTATCCTCATCGATAGTACCGACCACAGCATTTTCTATACATTTCTTTAATTCTTGGAGGGCTTATTTTTTGTTTCTTCTGAAGGGCAAAATGTCATATTGCGGTTTAGATTTAGTAGTTTGTTGGAGTAGTTTCAGATCCATTTGCTATATTATTCAAAGTATCTCTCATGTGCTTAACAGTAAGCTTTAATGAGCTGGTATTTACCCAGTCCCCAGAACTGAAATGAGATATGACACAAGGTCGAGATTATTGTGGGGAACCTGCGGGTGTACACTCGGACGAATGCTCAAAATTTATCCAGGACCGCAACCGTGGTATTGGGTACATTTTTTGTCTATTCTTCTCAGCTGAGTCCACGTCTGTAGACAGAGCCAAGACAGAGTCTCCTTCTGCTCGAAGACAAGGAGCTTGAAAATCGGAGCCAAGACCGCCTAACTTCGAAGAGGTTTTGTGTTCTCAGTATTTAGCTACTCTCGCCACTGTAGACGAGATGTGACACAAGGTCAAGTTTAATGTGGGGAATTGGAGCATGTACACTCAAGCCAACAGTCAAAATTTACCCAGCCCCCGCAACTGCAGGATCAGACATTTTGCAATTTTTATTTTTCTCAGTCGTGTCTCCATCCAGAGCTCCGACTGGGTCGCACTCTGCCCGAAGACAAGAGAGCTTGACAGCAAACAGCTTGACTCTGAAGAGCTTTGGTGGACTTGGTTTTTACTGATTGACGAAATGTGACACAAGGTAGAATTTAATGTGAGGAACCGAGCGTGTCCACTAGGGCCAAGAGTCAAAATTTACGCAGCCCACTGCAAAAGCAGGCTCAATTACATTACTTGTCTGTTTTTTTCAGCTGAGTTTCTCTTCGTAGACAGAGCCCCAACTGAATTTCCCTCTGTCCATTCTCGCCAACTGAGATGTGATATGACACAAGGTCGAGTTTATTGTGGGCTACCCGATGGAGTACACTCGGGACAATGGTCAAAATTTACCTAGCCCCTGCAGAAGCGGGCTCGGGTATGTTGCTTCTGTTTTTCTCAGCCATCTCCATCGCTAGGCAGAGCCGCGACTGAGTCTCCCTCTGCCCAAGGACAGACAAACTTTGGTTTGATATTGTCAAGGCCTCTGCCACTGCATGACCAGAATAAAATCACTATTTCGAGTGATTTTATTCTGGTTATCAATTATTTTGTTCATTGTATTTATATTGAAAAGTCATGATTATAAACCTCCAAAAATTTGAAAATTATGAATAACTGCAACTTGATTAACACATGAAAATTAAATTGTTGATTTACACAGAAAAGTTAAAAACAGAAAACAAAAATTTCTATTTTAATGTGGATGCAAATATTGCAATCCAAAAAACAGAGGTAACAAATATTAAGACTAATGTTTAGTGCTGCAGTGTCTTCATGAAGTGATATAAACATTCTTGCCTAAAATCAAAATATAAATTATTAAGTACCCACCATTATAGAACAAAAAATACATTTACATTTTTACAAAATGATTTACACTTATTAAAAAATAAAGTGGGAATAATACCAGGAAAAAACTAAGTTCACATTATATGCAAATTTAACTTTTTGTATTGCCACCCTTAAACCATCCAACCAGCTGATGTGTTAAACATTTTTTCATTCTAATTTACAAAATTATTTTTTCTTTTTCAGATATCAAAGGTGACTGGATGTGTCATGGAGAAGATCCATACAACATCTCTTCTCCACAAAATGAATCAACATATGTCAAAATTGAACCATTGTCTTTGAACTGTTAGACATAACTTTTCTTAATGTGACAATATGGAAAATACAAGATTTAGGGATGATCATAAAATAATAAAAGTAATAAAATAAGCAAATATTTTTCTACTGATAGGTAAAATGACCATTGGTCTTTTCAATGGAGTTTTTCTGAGATTATGAAGATCAAAATATTTTTCAATAATTCATTTCTGTTTGATTTCTTTCTTGAGTAAAATATGGAAAATATATTAGATTTTGTAAAAATAGGACAGAAGAGAAATCAAAATCAGATCATTTGCAAAGGGAATTTAGCAACTTTCAAACTATATTTTATATAATGAACAAAGATATATTTTGCTCAATAATTTAAAGTCACTTGGTTGAAACATTGATTTCCTGAGCAATTTATTAGCTTTGTTTCATTTGGCATTTTCAAATCTTCTTTATATACCTGAATATTTTATGATTATCCATTTTGGTATCCTATTACTCATATGACTAAATTAAGAAAAATTATGATTATTTGCATGTTTTTTACCTTCTATGTTTTAATATTTTGTTTACACTATTTTCAGCCATTTTATTTGTAGTCCTTTTTTTCCTCAATAAAAAAAAAAAAAATTCAACATTTTTAATTGTAATTTAAATCACTTCTTAGGGTTCATTACAAAAGATACTAATACTGCTAATACCATATTGTTTATACACATTTAAAATTGTTTACATTTCAAACAGACTTGTATTTTGAAGTTCAATTTTAAACAATTGGAAAAATATTTTACACATCAGTATAAATCTTTAACAAAAATTTTTAGTGAATAATTTGTGAATACAAATTTTCTAATTTTAACTTGTGAAAATATTTTTGGGATATATGCCAGAAAAGTGGTTGAAAAATTTGTGGCATTTATGTTGTAATGCATTGCAAAATGACATTGAAATGCAGATGTTTCTATGCACACATGGAACAACTAGCTGAGATAAATTTTACAGATGTTTACAAGTAGTAGTTGCATAGTAGTTAAAAGCAATCATCAATAGATATATTTTATTGTAGATTTTCAAATAAGTTTAATAACTCTCCCATAAGTAATATGTAATTCAATTAAAAAACATTTTAAGGAATTGTTAATTTGCATCAAGCCTTCACTAATTTTTCCTTTTTTTTGGATAATTGCTGAAAATACATCAGATTTGTCTTGTCCTATCTTTAAAAGCACAAAGTTTATGATATCAATCCATATTTATGTTTGAAACTAAGATATTATATAAAAAAAGTGGGGGCTGGTGTATCAACCCAGATTAATCCATCCTAGTGTATAACTGGGTATAGTTTAACCCCACCCCCACACCAGGGTATAATTGAAGCTAGCCCACTTCATACCTCAGGATATAAAATAGCCTAGCCTAAAATATACCAACCTAGGCCAGATTATATCCACTTTTACATTTTTTTAAGTAGAATATTATGTAATGGCTCCAGTCTACAAACAGGTAATAAATTGCTGATATGAATTCATTCAACAGTAAACAGGTACTGGCTGACCAGAATCAATGGACATCCAGAAGTTAGGCCTACTAATGTGCAAACCTAAGATTCAAAATGGGTAAGTGCTGATGAAGGAGAAAACAAAATCTTACTCAAAAAGTATTCATAGTCTCTAAGTCTCAGTTTTTTGTGAGTGAAGGTAGTTTTGTGAGTGAAGGTGTGTTGTGAGTTTTGGATACAGATTTTTTCCCCTTTTGATTTACTCTCTCAGCATTTTTGACTTTGGACTTGCAAGACTCAGTTATGACCCTTGGAATTACAACCCCCAGATTGTTTATTATTTTGGATCTGAACTTCCCTATTGCTATTTTCTTTCACAAATTGAAGGCTGTACAATGTACACAAGTAATCTCAGTAGACATGTGACACTGCATGATCCATAGTATCCCCAGCTATCATCTGTGGATACAATAATATATATCTTATTACATGTGAAAAGGAGGTATATTCTAGCCATTGCTCATTTATATCCAAGATTATAAATTAACCTATACTGAGGAAAACAGCATAGCCTAGAATAATCTTAGTATATTCTGGGCTGTTACACAGGTTATTGTTCATACATTGTTGTTGTAACTTGTTTTTGATTACAATTAAAAGTCAAAGTGACATCTTATTTATAGCCAATGGATATAAGCTAATAGATATTGGTTTAGGCATATCATTTAACAAAAATGGTGAGTACATTCATATATGGAAAAAGGAATACTTTACAACAAGCTTAAAAAATTTAAACTCTGTCTCAATGCAAGATTTTATTTAGAAAAGTGGCGAAAGAATTTTTTTCTAATATTATTTTGGAAACTATTAATTTACTGATTCAGGGTTAACAAAAGGAATAAAATTATTCTGTGGAGAAACTGGAGTTTTAAACTTAACCTGCCTGCTGATGAGTGCTGTTGTTGCTTGTCATGCTTGACTGCACTCATAAATCTTTTCTCTTTTGTTACGGCTGCTGCTATAAAAGACTTTCTGTCATTTTCTTCCTTTCTTTATTAACAGCTAACATTTTCTATGCTAGGTCTACCTCATCTCTATTGGCTAATGCAAGTGGGCACATCCTTTTTCATTCAATCATATCAGTTAAAACCTTGTTAATTCCTAAATTCAAAACCTGACAATTCCAAGCATCAATTTATTTTATACTAATGCCTTTCACAATTAATTCTTTTTACTTTATCCTTTAATATGTCTATAATCCACACCAATTCAACTGGCAATCATCTCAAATATTTCTAATGGAGGGTTTTTCATTAATCTCCCTTGAGGAGAATCACAATTCATATTATCACAAAAATTCATTTTTCTGATTTCTCTTTCAAAATTGCTGCAAGCTTTGTCAGATTTTCTTTTAACTGATCAGTGGTATGGTTAATGAGGAGGAAACATTCCCTAGAGATTGATGTGGAAACTAGAGGTCAATGGTTCCAAAACCTATATAACTGACAGGGGGATTAAAGCTTTGGTTAGATGTCTATAATCATACAAGGCAAAGATGCTTCTATCCAAGCACAATTGGCTGGCAACTACATGGACACACTAATAAATGATTCTGTAAGCAAAGATAGAGTGAGCAACAAACCAGTCCTGTTAGATGGTGTGTTTGTGACAACAAAAAATGAAATGTTGCTTGAAAGACTTGAGCAGCTTGAACATGATAATCATGTGTTTGAGAAGAAGGTGAAACAAAGGAGACTGCAGGAAGAAGAGGCAGTATATAAGAAGTGCTGGTCCTTGTCAGATATATGATTCTGTGGAGTGTTATATATACCTGTATACAGACTAGTGAAACTATTAGCTTTTGTTGAAGTGGTGAAGTAATCAGTGTGCAAGTGTAGTCAAATTTGAAAGGAATTATCAAGTAGTAGCAGTAAAAGATAGATGAAAGGAGAAGACAAAATCTCGTATAGCAACAAGAGCATACTTAATAACAAAGATACAGGGAATTGTTGATCAGTTGCTTGCATGGTTGCAAAAATGTACTGAAATGATCAAAACATGGAGAAACATTGTATAAATTAAGAAATTGAATTAGATGTATGTAAATTTCAAGAAAAATTTTCTTCCAATAGTTACTGAATATTCACAAGAGTCATTAAAAAAAGTTTAAGACCGCTTTAACGTTATTTTTGTTTTTTGCATTACCTTGTATCATGTGAAATTAAATGATGCAATAGGTTTTTATTGCATCAGCCATTATTCACACATGAAATCTTTTGTCCTGGCCAAATTAGCAGACATTGTGATAAGACTTGTGTAGTGAATTAAGCTTAGAATATGTGCAAAAGAATTTACGCTTTCACCTACACAAATGGCTCGAATTGTGGTTCTTTGTGATAAAGGCTTTTGTGTAAAAATAGGTTGTAACAAAACAGCTGTGCACACAGTTATTGTGACTTTTCAAAATTCAGGGACATTTATCGACAAGGTGAGAAGTAGATATCCAAGGAAAACCAGTGCTAGAGATGACAATTTGATGAATTGCATTGTTACACAATCCCCAACAACTTCTGATAAGAAGATAAATGTTGCTCTGCTTCAAAATGATACAAATGTCACATTGAGATTTGATTTTGTTCTGAAATCATTCAAACTGACTTGTAAACCACAGCTAACTGCAGCTATTAAATGCAAGCATCTGGCATTTGTTAAGCAACATGAAACCTGGATAGCAGGGCAGAGTTATGTTTTCAGATAAATTTAATTAGCAACAGTTTGTTATATTTAGAAGGAACATTAGAAGATTCCTTGATAAGAAATTTGAAGAAAAGTATACAATTCAGACTATGAATCACCCACTAAACCAAATGATTTGGAGTGTCATGTTCAAATCTGGACAGCTGAATGATGCAAGGAATGTGGAACTACTGCAGAAGAAACTGAAACGGTATATACACATTCATATTTATACATGATGGTACTCAATGCCACCAGTCAAAGGTCATTACCAAATTTTTAAACAGGATCAACATGACAATATTAAATTGACTGGGGAACAGACCAGAAAAATTTATGGGAAATTGTCAAAAACAAAGTTGCAGGAAAACAACCTTCAAGTACCAAATAACTGAGAGAGGCTATTAAAGAAGCCTATTTTTTATGTAATTTGGTTGTTTCCATTGAGTGACTACAGTATAAGCTTGTGTGGGTCTGATATATTGGGGGTGCAAAAAACAGACACAGGGAAAAAGATTATCCCATTAAAGAAGGTATGATTGCAATCATCTGAGGTTCACAGCAGGTGAGAGTATCCTTATACAGAGAAAGATAGAGAAAAGTAACTCCCTACATCCAATAAGTATATAAACACTGCTGGGCCACCATAAAAGAGTGGGAGACCCATTTTATAGGCAGAGTGGGTGTGTAAAGAACTTATTTCAAATAATGGTAATGCTAAAAGGTTAGAAAAAAATACTTTAAATGTTTGTTCTGTGGAGAAGCAGGAGAGCATGAGATAAATTGTGTGTCGGAATTGTGAAGAAAGCAACTCCAAACTGAGATAAATTGCTGAGACAGGCAAGAGTAAGTGAAAATATAAGAGGAATGTGTATGAAATTTTCACTCAAGGAATCAGCGCTACTGCATGTTGTGAAGGTGATGGACTATATCATCATAGAAACTTTGGTTGACACTTGAACAGCAGGGTGAATGATGTCAAGTTTTTTGTTTTGTTTTGTGTGTGAATTTAATAATTCATATATATCCAACAAAAGACAAGTATCCAACAAAGTATAGAATGTTTCACATCTTTCTCCTAACATATTTGAGTTAATAACACTTCTTCTATGGTGCCATAAATGCTAAGATTTAAAAAATTTTGAATTCTATATTTTTCACCTGATCCTCTGAAAAAAGGAATAAATTAAGCAATAAAATAGTTCTTATTCTTCTATGCTATTTCCTCATGGTAAAATTTTATCTGTTAAAATTGGAATAAGGGAATAATAAGCAGAAATTGCATTAGGCAAATCCTATTCATAAACCATTTGAAATTACATTGATTTTAAGAAAACCTTTTTTTCAAGAAAAAAAATTCCAGAAGAAAATTCTCAAACACAAAATCTAGAGATTAATTGTTTGATTTTGCTGGTCAAAATCTTGTCAAATCGGAATAATGAAGTACATAAGGAAACAGCCATTTTGAATTTCAAGTAGTTGTTGATTGGATCTGGAGGGAGAAAAATCTCAGTTAGTCTTTCAAGATGGCAAGACTAATAATTTTCCAATAACACAACCAAACTAAAACAGACAGACACTTGTCAGTTCCTACTTTCTTCTTACTAGTGATAAAACTTTTAGAATTCCAATTGTTTGACTAAGCCAACCAAATAAATGGCAAAAAGCTATATTTAAATGTATAGAAAAATGCATAAAGTTAGAATTTTGTTGTCTTTTGCAAAATATACTTTAATCTTTTTGCTCTGTCATTTTGTGTCTAATCCCAACCTAGGAAATCAATCGTGCCTCTAATTATGCAGGAAACCTCATCAGTTTCTACCCTTCAGTGGAATATGGGCTGGGGAGAGTTCTGGAGTGAATGGTTTACCATATCTGAGTACAGTGAAGCTAAGACAACCAGTAAATGTGGGAAGGGATAATGTACCATTTGTTATAGCTTTGTGAGTTTGGACTGTCACATTTGTTACTGTTTTAACCAGTGGAAAGACTGAAGATGTGTGGAGCATAGTATCAAAATTGTTGTTTTTAAATGAGCTACTCAAGCTCCATTATTTTATTGCTTAAGCATTGTGTCATAAAACATGAAAAAAGCAGAATATTTTAGTTACTGTTCCTTCAAGATGTAGATTAAAAGTTCTTGTATTAGAGTGAATTTAGTGATAAAAGCAATAGTTTTGGTGAAAAAAAAAAAATTAGCCATAAATATATATTTAGCATTCTCAATAATGTCTTTTTTTCATGTTTCTCACCTGTATATTTTGGTACAGTGAGAGCTTGAAAAAAAATTGATAACTGATTATTTATCAGAGAATATTTTCATAGTATAAAATTAACTGAATGAGATAAGTGTTTACTCAATATACAAAAGAACACTGAATACACCAATGATTTTTATTTAATTGAAATAGTAAAAAAATTAAATGTGCTTGTGTGTATTAATGCTACAATGCATGTTAATAATGCTACAATGCATGTTAATAATGTAAAAGTGTAGTCATTAAATTTATGTAACTTTTTTATAACTCCTCAGTTGTTAAAAATGTTTTTTTTTATTAAACTTCATTTAAAGTTTTGTACAGTGATGAGAGTAAACAAATTCCATTTTTCATTTTTGAACTTTTTGGAAGAAAGCATATTGAATAACAGGACTCAGGAAGTATGATTCATCAGTTGGAAGCTGTTTTTTTGTGAGTGGAATCTGCCAAACAAAATTCTAACTGATATGGCCTTCACTTGCGGGAATTTCAGAAACTTCCTGATAGATTAGGGTGTTTGGCTGTGGCTCCAGCCCCAGATGAAAATGGAATTGTGGAGAGATGCCATAGAACCATAAAGCCAGAAAGCAGTGCACTATAACAAGAAGCAGTGTACTGGCACAATATGACATCCATGGAAAGTGTTTCACCTTTATAAGCCTCCAGAAGAATACACAAATACCATATCAGAGTCAGGGGAATTGATGCTGTCCTGTTAGCCAAACCGCAGGATGACTGACAGACATACAAGGTCAGTGATCCTGTCTAGGTAAGTTATCAAAAGATAGATGCACTACAAGATTCAAAGTGGGCCACATGACTGGAATCAACAGCCAGCTATCAGTGGAAGTTGATGGAGTTCCACATCAAATAAAAGACCTGCAACTGTATACAGAATCATACTTATCAGGAAATGAGAGCAGCTTGGAGGAAAATCTAAAGCTGATCCAATTAGGATCAATATCACCAGAATCCAATGAAGATTTATCTGCCAATAAATCACCTGCAGATAAACCAGCTTTAATAAGCAGTCTCCCTGTCACCAGTTGTCAGAAAGCTGATATGAGAGTGCCTCACAAACTCCAAGCCGGTGCTGTCCATCTCAGAAGGAGTGCGTACCAGAAGCACCCTGCACCTGGGCATACTTTTTGTTATCACAAGATCAGAGGTGTGTGTGGTGAAATGAGACCAAGAAACCCTGACCCAGGGCTAAGACGCAACAATGTCTTGCCTGCCTGGTCAAAGCAACCATTTGCAATTTAGTCACAGTACATGCATGGTTCTAACACTTTAAAAAAAACCAAAAAAAACTATCACTAATTTGCTGTAGGCAAAAACCTAAACAAAAAGTGAGCCAAACAGATGAACGGCAGAATGACATTGACTTGGTCAGGACCAGATTCAGTGCAACAATATACTATAGGTTCATTATTGTATATAATTAGGTTACAATAAAATTTTATTTTATCTGAATACTACTTTATGAAAATTGAAATCTAATAGTGTGAGGGGCCCCACATTATAGATTTGGGGTCAGGTGGGGCACAAGATCCTTGCTCTGGCTCTGCAACTGGAAGCAGTACTTGTCTGAATTCAACATTTGATTTTGTGGTAAGAGTTTGTAATACACAATGTCCTTCCAATCCCACCAGATACACAGCATCATTTTTTCAGATACAGATTGGACATAGAAATAGCTAATAGTGCTTCATTTCATTTTTTCACTCCATGTAAACAATTTTTTTTCCTCACCTAGGATTGTTCTTTACAAAAATAATTTATTTTTGTTACTCGAGCATTGTAGCAATTCACATATCCAAGTGTATTCAACATATAACACTGTCAACCTCGGAATCCTCACAGAGAAACTGTTTGAGATGACTGGGGACTTGGAGCACACTCCTCATGAGGAACAAGACATTTTTTTGTGGACCTTTGGCAGACACAGAAAAATGATCTCCTCCAAGGTAGTGTGCTTGCTTCCCTACTCTTCAATATCTGCACTAATGATCAGTCCATCCACTCAAATACTAGGAGCATCCTCTATGCAGATAATCTCTGCATTGCATCCCAGAAGCAATCTTTTGTGAAAGATAAGACCTCTCTCACTAATGCTTTGGGTGGACTTATCTCATACTATGCAGCCAACAACCTATGGGCCAACCATGAGAAGACCCAAATCAGTACCTTTCACCTATGGAAGAGTAAGTGAACTGCTCAAAATCAACTTCCAAGCCTGGGGTCACTCTGGATGTGGAATATCTCTGTAATGCCTCTTATCATGACTATTATTTTAATCAATGTTATGATTTAATCAATGGCAACTGCATACCTGCCAGAACATTCTTAGTTTTCCAGATCTAAATTTCTGCTTCTGAACCTAGTGTAACACTTATGAATAGTATTCTCAGCCATAAATGGCACATATATTTATTGCTCTTTGTAGAGTGTTTTTTTTTCCTTTCCAGAAATAAATGAGCATCAAATGATGAAAATTATTGTTTATTGTAGTAGATGAAGAAACCCAAAAATGAAGAAAAAAATCAGAAAAATATGAGTGAGGTTTTAAAACCATTTATTATTAAATTAAAATACGTTATTACAGGACATTTTTGCAGACAGCAGCAAGTTTACAATCCTAATCATAAGGCTTACAGATTTTAAAATAAAGTGCTGGTTTAATTAATTTCCATCAATTTTCACAAAATATGCAGGAGAATTGTAAACATTTTAGAATTTAAATGTAAAACTTATAATTCAAATATTACTATTAGACAATCTTTCAACTTTACTTCCATGGAAGAATGTCTTTGTATGTATACACATTTGAGGAAGTATCTTTACTTATGTATATTCTGCAATGAAAATCCAACTAATCTGTCCATAAAGTCACCAAATTTGGTAGGATCCCCAGGAATGAATTGGTGCAAAGATTCTACATCCATCTTGGCCAATGTTTCTTGGAGGGTACTTGATGGACATAAAATGAGAAAGGAACAGTCAATTTGATTTAAACATTTCTACACACTAACAGATTATGTGTACAGAAGGGGAAATCTTGTATCATAATAACCATGATTGAGTCTGGAGTTAAAATTATTTTTTTTTCTCAAAAAATAAAATAAATATCTATTTCTTCTTTCACAATAACACAATAATGTAAAAGTGTAGTCATTAAATTTATGTAACTTTTTTTATAATTCCTCAGTCCAATTGACAACAAAGTTGACAAATATAATGGCACATGTTAAACATAAATAAAACTGAGAGTCTACTTACAACTAAATTCATTGAAGTTGCAAACATTTCATAAGTACAAGGAAAATTATCTTATTTATTTTTGATGATTTTGTACTTAAAAATTAGTTACAATGATGTCAGCAACATTTTCAACATTTTAATTTGTACAACTATTTTAAAAATGCTGTATCGGGCAAATTGAATTTAAAAGAATAACTAATGAAACAAACTGAAAGAGGAAGTAAGAATTAAGAGAGAAAAAGTAACAAGGCTCAATAATTAAATGTAATAAATGAGTAGAAACATTAACTTTGTGGTGATCAAATATATTAAAAGCTTCTAGTCATAACTTAAGTGGTAGCATACAACACAAAGGATTATTTTTCTTATTTATTTCCCTGCAACTCTACAAGAAATAAAAACTGTTCAGACCAAATAAAGACTTTCTAACTGACCTGCAGGTACAATACAATGAATGCCCATCTTTGTGCATTTGTTGAGCCAATTCCATTTGATGGTTGTTCATCAGCTTTTCATTTACAACTGTGATGAGTGGTTTCCCAAGGGACAAAGTTTCTAGAACAGTGCCTGCACCTAAAAAAAAAAAATCAAAATTATTTCCTTTATGCCCTGATATTACATAATTAAGGGGAAACTATTTTTGAACACAAATTCAAAAGTTACTTTTATTAGATACTTCTAAATAAGCAATATTTGTCCACCTAAATTTTTAAGTTACTTTTTAGTCATTAAATATTTTTACATTCAGCATGCCCGTTTTTATATTTGCAATATTTTTGGCTATTGTACCCTCTAGACTTCTTGGAATTTTGAACCAAATCCTTTAACCAACTTCTAAGTTGCAGTAATTGAATATTTCCATGAAGGACCCAACTTTTGTGTTTCTCTTTGTGATATTTACTGAAAGGTGGTAGTTTGTGTGCTTTTAGGTCTTTGACCAATATTCTTAATATTCTGGATTTTGTTTGTTTATATTCATGCCCATCAATATTCATAATACAGCTTTTTCAACTATTTTCTTACTGGTCAATCCACTTTTCTTACTTTTCAATTCTTCTCAAATCTCTTTTTGTGATATTCTTTTTTTTTTTTATTCATATCTGGCCAATGTTCCAATTTATTTTTTGATTGCTCTATGATCCCTAATTTTTTCACAATATTGGAATTTTTTTTCCAATATAGAAAAAAAAATTAGTGGGGTCATTAAGCAAGCAAGAAAAGTAGAACTCTTACTTGATGTGAAATTGAAGGGAGAATTTATTTAGAATTAAACTTAAATTGAGAATGAAAGAAGGCTATAATGGTTTACTCAAAATAGTTTTAAATGCCTAATAAAAATTAAGTTTGGGAAAGAGAAAATATTCATATGAAAATTAGGATGTATAACTGATAAAATAGAAAAATGTCATTAAACAGTGAAACTTCTCTAAAGTTGTCAAATTTAAACCTGTCAGCAGTCAAGGTCAAATGTAGTAATCTTAAAGAATGTATGCAAGTGTGTGAGAAATGCCCTCAAAAGTTTGTTTAATAATTGTGATGAAAGTGTGTTCTGCTTCTTTTAGGGTGTTTTCAGAACAATTGTCAGTTTTTGGTTCTCAGACTTTTTTTTTAAGACTGTTCTCTGTAATTATCACCCCCAAAAACACATGATTGAAAAGTATTCCCCACCAGCCAGCAATTTTGCTTATATTTGGGTCCCCAGGAGTGAATCAAAGCATACTGAGAAAAGACTGTCCAAACACCTCATTAGCTATTGAAAGCTTTGCTTTCAAGTTTCTGTAAATATTTCTAACATTAAAGCCTAAAATGCACTTGTATAATATATTTTGAAAAGTTGACCAACATTTATCAGCTAATACTAATTTTATTGACAAAACATAGTAGAATAAAATCACACATGGTGTAGATCGTTTATGTAGATTGATTGGGAAGCAACCAACCATTTAATAGTGATAAAAATGAAGATGGGAGGGTGTCATCTTTATCAAAGTACTTCCTTTGGGACTTCCCAAACTTATTCTAGCATCCCTTCCACTTTTCCAAACAGTTTGCAAAATCCTCTTTTGAAAAGACCATCAACTGTCTCATTGCATTCTCTTTAATCTCATCTTGAAAGTGTTTTTCCAATAGAAATTTTAAAATTAAGGAAAAGCCAGGTGCAAACAAGCAAAAAAGTTTTATTTGGAGTGGCATATTTAGGAAGGACAACACCTGCATGATAAAAGTCAATATGAACTTGATGTAGCTCCAATTTTTCGTACCTACATTGGATGTAGATTCAGGTAACGAAAATGGGCTTTTGTTTCAGGGTCATAGCCGTATATCCATCTCTGTTTATGATATTCTTAGGGTACTTGGGTTATTGTTAGTGCTTTGAATCTGGGCCTTTTTCATTGCATTGTCTTCAAAAGCCTTCTTAATAATTTGAATTGTTTCCAGTCAAGATTTCAAGTAAATTTTGATGTTTTACTTTTGGCCACTGCGAAAACAATGGCCATACAAGCAGAGAGAATGAAATCTGAGTGCCAACTGAGTAACTCAATGGGAATCATGCGCATACAGTAAAGCAGTTTGAAATAAATATTAAGTTTAAATATTAAGAGTAGAATATTGCATTTGCACTCATACACATACACTGAATGACTGTTTTATTTATCATAGGCTGTTTAAGATAAGAATATTAAAAAAATTACTGCTAAACTCAATAAAATAGACATATTATAGAAGCAGAAAAACATTCACATTTTACTTTGCAACAGTTGTTTGGACTACTGAATTCATTATGTTGTTACTAAAATGTTTTGGTTGATTGATTCTACAGCCTTCTTCAAGTGTAAAATTATGAGATTTTTCAGAAAATGCTACAATCACCTATCAGAGTAAAATAATAAATGAAATAAAATGCTCAGTTCCACTAGCTTTTGGCACAATTGGTGGGTTGTATCTTTAACCTTACCTCGAGATACAAACGTGATTCAGCAATTGTGGCATTTCCATATTGCCACAGCACCTACCATTGAATAAAAACCTCCCTGTAAATCATCAGCTTTTTGCCAAAAAGGAAAAAAATTCTTTGAGAGAAACACTCACTTATAGATAGATGAATCACAGAAGATTGATAAACAATTAGAGTGAAGATGTATGTTAAGCATAACTGTTTGATTTCCAGCTTAAAGCATAAATTCAAACTGAAAAATCAGTGCTGAGTTACATTCCAAACTACAAACAAGACCATTTGTTGAACTGAAACACTTGCAGACATCAAAACACAGGCAAGTGAATTTGTTGCAATTAATCTTGGTCTTCTTTTCACCTTCTTGGACCACTCACTTTCCAAAGTTCTTTGATCATAGATATTTTGGCATGTATTTATTTTATGCTATTTATGCTTTGACTTCTGTCCAACTGTCATTGTTTTAGATATATGCATTGATTGAAGGATGCACTGACACCGTTCTGGTTTCTGTACCTGATATGATTGTGCACTACACATAGATCACTCATTTGACGTATGTAATAACACTGAGTCAACCGTTTTTCATCAAAACACTCTTCTTGACCTTATCCAGCGATATGTCATATATGTCATTGTGCAAATATTTGTCAGTCATGTAATAAACATGAACCTCAACCCAGTAGAACTATAATTTCTACATCTGAAAATGCAAAACAATTGTGGTATTACATTGATTTTTGTCAATTGTTCTCTTAATATTTTTCTTTCAAATTTTAGTTCAAAATACAGGATTTTATTTCATATTAACCAGAAACTCAAGGCTACTTCTAACAGTTCAAATTACTTAGATCAGTTTTCCACTTTAAACTTGCAAGGTTAACCTTATTTCAAACAGCTATTAACTGTAGATTTCAGTTGCTTGTAAAATCTACATAACTAACAGTGTCACAAAGCTAATCATTTGTTTGTGAAATAGCTAAAACAATCCTCACGATTCAAAATCTGCAGTGAAAAACTCAAGGTTGTCACAGTTATTGTGTCTGGTGAACTGAAATGTTCTAATCAGATATCGGATACAACTCTGTACAATTCTGCACAAATGTTCACAGCTTCAGAGGATATTCTCTTTAACCCTTGCCCTGGTATTGCTCACAATATTTCCTTACACTTCTTAGCTAGGTCTATGATTAGAGAATCTATATAACCACTGCCAGGTATAACCTACCTTCTTTAATATGTATTTTATTTGAAGTTGATTGCTTGACATATTTCAGAGAAAACATCTTAATCTTATACTTCGGGAATCACCGTTTCCTCTAACTCACTCTACTTGTTCTTTTTAAATGAGTTTAATAAACTATTCTTGGAAGCTGTAGCTGTTCAGCAACAATACATTTAACTTCTAGCAAACAGACACAAGAGAAGGTAGGCCACATTACCCCAATCCCTCCACTATTAGGACCAAAGTTCAGTCAGAGAAGACAAAGATGTTCTTTGAAGCAAAACCTACTGATGCCCATTTTCAAGTGGAGTGGAACAGCTTCTTTTGGCCTCTTTTTTTTTTCCAACTGTTGATGATTGCTGGCTTTTGACTAAAGACACTATGAATTCTGTTGATTGCTGTTCTGGATACAGCTTAAGAGATTTGGGTCACTGGAACTAGGGCTCTGGAGTCTGCAACTTTGACAACTATTATTGGAGAGCCTAGGTTACTTCTTCCACAGTCCTGAACAATGTAAATAGTGTAAATTTTTAAAGTGTTGGGAATCTAAATTTAATTCACTGTATTAATCATTGGTGTCCATTGCTTTTTGCCTTATTTTTCTTGAACCAAAAATATCTTTATTATTTTAAAATTTTACTAGACACACAAAAAAAATTCTGTCTACACAAAAAAAACAAAAAAACAAACAAGTTCTAATCTAATGGAATTTAAAAGCAAAAATGAAGAGATTAAATATACTATTTGAGAATAAAAGATAAAAATTTGGCATAAAAGTTCAATTTTATATATGTCAAAAATAAATTGGAATTTTTTTGTTAGAACAAAATACCACTTCACACCAAGAATCAATTTTATTCAACTTTTGGGCAAATACCGAGCAAAACGAGTGAGTAAATCCAATGGTCCATATAGTACAATTGAACCTCTTATTAAATTTATATTTACAAACTTCTAAACCAAATTGCAAATAAGATACAACATCAAATATCTCATTAAAGTTGAGCTAAATATTATTATCTATATCTTGTTTTTCTCTGTACAGTAAAAATATAAACTATTATTAAATATATTTTATTGACAGTACCACTAATATAGCAATAAATGGACAAAACTTTATAATTAAAATAAAAACCTGAAATTTCTTTGATAGTATGCATAATTATATTATGCAACCATCATGTAAATTTAGGGTGTTAAAGCGGTGACCATTTCATGCAAAAAAGATGGGGACTTGTTTTAAATCATTGTTGTTCTAACTTGCCACAGGGTTAGGTGTACTCATACAAAGAAAAACAGTAAACAAGACTGCAGAATATCTGTAAGGCAATATCCACCACTAGAATAAGTAAACTTTATTTATTTGTTCATACATTAACGTAAATATGAAACCTTTAATAGAAAATATTTGATAATTTTCTGCACATTCTATTCTATGCCAGATCCAAATCTTGTATTTTACCACTTATTAATAGTAAGTAAAACATACATTAAAACTGATTTTAGTTAATTAATAACCAACAATGTCACAGGAGACTGTTGTATCTTGTGTTTTTGAGATAACAGAGGAAAATAAATAAAGGAAGACAAACTCATAGGTAAGTAATGAAATACATTTACACTTAGCAATGGACCTAATGCTAACTCTGCTCAACTTCACTTATTTACATAAACAGACAATTCCATTCATATGACAGAGTGAAAAATTCAAGAATTTCGAAACAAACTTAATTTTACTTAAAAATTGAAATATCTTTTAAAAATTACTCTTTCAGCTTTTTATTTTTATTTCACAAATGAAGCCCTTTGTCAACTTTATCTATAACCTATAAATAAATAAAATGTTGAATTTGTGTGACACTATTTAACTATGGTAATTGGCTAACTAATTAACCATAGAAATTAAACAGAAAATAAACATTCTTATAGCAAAAAAGAGCTATCACGAAAGATAACCTGATTGACGTTAAAAGAAAGATTTTATTTTATTTACAAAAAAGTCGTGGAAAGAGCTGTGCGTGAGGTCTTGTCAAGTTGATTTATGTCTCGCCGAGGGAGATAGAAAGAAAGACAAATATGAAGATTTCAGCCAAAACACATGCTGGTCATAAAAATTTCGGCTTGAGACAATCACAGATACAGGATGGGGAGAATCAATGTTAATTATCTTTCCAAGATATCATTTTTTTTTATGTTACCACAAGAGAGAAGCAATGTGGCGGCTATAAAATTTTGGCATTATCTCGATATAGGCGAGAGGATCGTTATCATTTACTTTACCAACAGACGCTAAGATGTTGAATTGTAAAATTTTGGCATTGTCTCCACATAGGTGAGGGGTTTGTTATTATTTACCTTATCAATGTGTCGATTCAGATGCTGAGACGGTGAATAGTGATCTAGTCTAGGTAAACTTTTGGTGTGAGATAGAAAATAGAGTAGAGAATTGAGATTTGGTGAGACAAAAATTTAATTTCTTAACAAGTCAAGGATTCCATTATAAAGCTAACTTAACGTAAGGACCAGATGGCAAACTTTGACAATGATTGATGAGTCGATAAAGAGTGCTGGCTAAGTGACCCCAAAAGAAAGATGTGATAAGAATTTAATTTGCAATATGGAATTCATAAAAATTTTGGCTGATGGGAAAGGAGAATTTTGTAAACAAAAATTCTAGATTATAATTTTTAAGGAGGCCAGCTTAGCCACACCCACATGCCCGGAATGCCATTGGTAGAGTGGTAGCATGGGTGATAGGCAGAGGTGAATGGATGAGAAAGAGAAGTTATTAATGCCCACTGAAGGGATTGGTATGAGATATCATTGTGAGAGAGAAAGAGTCTAGGAGGATAGCTCTCCTCCAACTTTCCCCCATGGACGATGGAGACATCCCCCGCCGAAATGGGAAGTGTTTAATTTTCCAAAAAGTGACAACAAAGAGATTTCCTGTTAGAAATCGAGATTACCAAGACCCCAAGGCCGTGTCTGGGCCCACACTGGGTTTTGGTCGGTACCCACATAAACAAACGTTGATGGGTCGTTCAGCAGTCAGTTAGTTTGAGTTGGAGACACAGTTGAGCTGGTTTTGGAGTTAGAGTCAGAGCTTAACCAGAGTGTTGCCTCACAGAAGCTGACCGAGAGATTCCACGACCTCTGACTTTGCCTATCCTACCAATAGCAAGTTATACTGATGAACGAAGCCAAGCCAACACCTAAAAACCAAACCAAAGCTTGCCTAAGAAGCGTAAAAGTGTTACATTTCGTAGGAAATGGGCCGGGAGAAAAAGACCACTCCTGTATATAACAGAAGGATAAAGTTAATTTGTTATTTAACATACTTGAACCACTTGGGTTTTTATTTATTTATTTATTTTCTTCTTTGCGCTTGTGCGATACCACCTTCAATCTGGACTCTGATCTCGTCTACCTAAGATCAAAGACATAACGTAGGTAGGTTAGACTTGAGATCGAAGCAGTTACTCCAGTAACCACACGTTGCAAGTGAGCTGGGAACGATAGAGCTGGTATTGAACCGGTACAGCTGGTGAAGCCGTTAACATCAACGACCAGAATTTGACCCTGGACAGGCCAGTGTCCCATATTGGTATCCTGACCAGGGGATTTCGCAGAGTAGCGATGACTACCAATCAACCAGGACACAGGCTGGTGGCAGCGACAAAGAGTCAACCCCAAAACGCTCTAGAAGAAACATTAGTTTCGTGCCGCTATTGGGAGTTGACCACAGGCCGATGGCAGGTGTCACATTTGTATGTGTTAATGTTTTTATTTAAACATTCCCTCTTTTTTTAAAAAAAAAAAAATGTTCACTATTTTTTCACATTTTACCCCCTGAAAAAAAATCTGAGTCATTTACAGCAGCCAATTTCACTTAAATGAAAGGACATATTGTTTGCTTTCAGAAAATACCTAGTTTCATGGGGTTCAAATCAAAAGTTTCCTTGATATTTGTTCAGATGAGGATAAAACAGTCATTTTTCAATATTTTACCCCTATAAAAGTATGAAAATCCATTTTTTCAGAGAAGATAAGCTGTGACAAAATGATTTGCCATTTTGTGATGATTTTTCTTGAGATAGAAAATTTTTACTATAGCAAACCTGAATTGACTAAGTTTAGAGGGGCTGTAGGAACCCTCAAACAGCTGTGATTCTGACCCACTTGAATTATTTTTCTAACCCCCTCAATAGCCATTTTCCTCCAGTTATTGTTGTCACACACAGTGAGATTATCCACATATGCTCTTACTGGGGTTGTTGGGTGCCAGATAAAAGATACTGGGCCTCAGCATTCTTTTTCAGATGATTTTGCTATAAGGTTCATGGCAAGGTTAAGTAGTATTGCAGATATTGTGCAACCTGTTATTATTAGTGTTTTCTTTCTAGATGGAAAAAATGTAATATGATGACATACAATAGTACTTTCAGTTTCATATATGCTTAAACTTTATGATGTCTAGAAGTGGTGCAGAGGCAGACAACCATAAATGCAATGTGATGTAATGTTTCAGTAATTCAACCATTAAGTTGAATAAAGCTTGTTTTTCTTTAGTCTGTAAAAAAAAAAAAAAAAAAAAAAAAAAGTAGAAAAATATCAGTGTTGACAAATGGGCATTTTTATTTGATTTCATGCTAAAATTTGAAAAAAAAAAAAAAAAATTCTTCAGTTGTGTGCTCTATACTATCACCATAATTAGGCTAGCAGTACACAAAATACTAATTTCATCCTAGGCAACAAAAATAACATATTGTCATATGCAACTTTGACAAACAGGAATTGGATACCACCTGTTTGCCTCCAGCTCTGCTGCCAAGAACAGATATTAAATGCTTTTAAAGACCTAAGTTGATCAATCTTCAGTATCATCTAACTCTGTGATTGCATGCAAATTCTTCTGCATTATGGGTACATTTATGACACAAAAGTATTGAAATGTAGTCATTAACCTTTGAGCACAAGTAGCAAGCAAGCATATCTGAAACAGTATAAAAATTCTTATTGATGGGGACATAGATAACTGTCTAATCTGTCCCAGGTAGCCTACAACAGTGAACACTTCTTTAATGCTGCCATACTGTTAGAAAATATTTTCTTAATGAATTATTTGAATTTCTTTCTTTTTCTTTATATTTCAGTTTCTGATGAAGCTTTAATAAAAAAAAAAAAAAAAAAACATTAGATTGATAAATGTTTCCTATTTGTTTATCTTAACCTATCTTGGCATCTAGTACAACTGTCTGCTGTTGCAGACATAGTAACTTCATTTTAAATATTATGTCTGCTACTCAGTCTACTACCAAGCCTGTTTATTGCAGTAAAATAGTGCACAAATTTAAAAGTAAATAGGTCCTGATGATCCTACAATGTCTGAAAAGCATTAATATATAGATTTAAAAAATCCTTGTTAAGAGAGTTGCTGAGGAAGAACACTGCCAAATTTGTAATCTAATCATGGAAAAAAATAATGATATTGTCAATGCACTTAAACCATTAATAACAGAAATTACAGTGAAAATTCCAAACAAAATTCAGCTAAAAACTGTTAACCTACAGACATATGATCTATTTTTTTTTCAGATTTTCTTTATTAATTATAGACATTTCTAGTTTCTTAAATAATTAAGTTATTTTTTTTTTTTTTTACATTTACTTAATGCCTGTGTCATTATTTTTGGTCACATTTACAGCAAGCTTTTATTTTACATTCATATTATTTACTCCAACCTTTGTCAGAGAAGGGTATAAACAGATCAATAAGTGATATAAACATATTTTTTTAAACTTTCACTTTTAAATTTTATAAGTGAATTGAATAAAAAAAAAAAAAAAAAATAAAAAAAATAAAAATATGGATAAATACAGATTTTTCATTTTATTTTTATTACTTCGAGAAAGAAAAAAAAATCAAATAAATTTTAGATAAATTAACTTACCAATCGCTTGATTTTGGTTTAAAAGAAAACTATTTACCTGCATGACTGATCACAAGATCAGCATTTTTTATGTCTTCATGAATAGAAGATTTATAATCATAGCAATGCACATCTAATCCACAAACCTGTGTCTGGATTGGAATGGGACTTGATCCAGTTTGTACTATCATTCGTTTGAAACCAGCTTGACGAAATTTCTAAAGGCAAAGGATAAACACAAAAATTTTAAATGTCCAATTAAAAGATTAAACACAAAAGATGATTTGCATTATACAAAGATAACAAAATTATGCCTTTTCTTTAACTATTATCATTAATCTTTCTTAGATGAAAGTAGCCTGCTTTTTAGAACTAAGTAAAATGACATGGTATACATCACTTGAAGTTGTAATAATGCAATATGCATTAAACTTGGTTCTAATTGAACAGGATTTTGATTAAAAGTGCCATATTACCATTATTTATTTATTATAGCAATGACAGATGTACATGACATTATTAACATACTCTACCAGTAAATATAAAAAAGATAAAAATAAAATTTCAAAAAATATTTGTAATAGATAAAAGATGCAGACAAAAATATGCAGGAAAAAAAAAAGTATTAAGATTATCATTATCATGGTGCTCTCCAATCATCTTCAGGTATGTAGTATTTATTGTATTTGGTATGTAACCATCTTGACATTTCAAATTGAATACTTTATTCAATCCATGGGAAGTTGATTGCTTTCCATTCTTCGAAGATGTTGCTGCTTTGAATACTACAAACAAACTGACCAGAAGATTGCCCTACTAGGAATATCCCATATACTAAGAAAAATACTATCAATTAAATGACAATTCTCCTATAGGGCCAAAGGACCATTGTTTGGACCTGGTTCTACAGGATACAAAGCAGGAAATATAACATATGCAAATAATCTTACTATAATTGTGCTTGTTAGTTACTTTGTTTGTTTGTCCATTACATTCTTCAGTACTGATCTGTATTCAACATCTCAATGGTAGCGATTTTCAAAGAAACCTCTCCAAAGCAGTTAAAGGAGCAGCCATTTTTTTTCTTTGTGTGTATATATCTTATTTCTTGTATGCATGTACCTCCACTTTTTCACCAAAAAACAGCATAGAAAAATGATGAAAAAGGCTACAAACTTAAAAAGAAATTTTTATTGTCAAAATGTTTGTTATTATAAAGACCAAAGTATTTTTTGATTATTTTATTAAATTGTTAATCATTTCTAGCATGTTCGAAATTTTGGTAAATTTTTTTTAAGTTGGGTCATACTTAGTATTTTTGCATCTATTTTTCAGATGAAAAACACATTGATTTGGAAATTATTGCAAAAAAATCAAATAATTGTTGGATTTTAATGAAACTTTCAAGATGTATTTGTAAATGAAGGAAATTATTTTTGCATTCTTTGCTTTTCAGAAAATTGTAGTAAACACAAATTTTTTTTTTTTTTACATGTTACAACCCATTTACTATTTTTAGTTTCACTTAAATAATTAGAACCTAATTCTAGAAAAAATAATTTTTACTCTAACTAATCTTATTAAATTTCTATTTGAAATTCATATTTATTAATTTGCATGTTATTTTGCAATTTCCTTTCAAATTATTTTTATATTTAACTCCCATTTCATAAAAAGTTTTTTTTTAAATTTTTGTTAGAGTTGTTATGAAACAAAATATTTGAAAGATAAATTTGAATTCAATTTCAAATCTAATACTTAATTTATTATTTTTAGACTTTATTCAGGACAGAAATGAATGATCTTAAAAGTTCTTTGTTTCTCAGAAAATTGTACTAAGCATTTTTTTTTTTTTTTATGCATGTTACAACCCACTTAATTTCATGAAATTTCTAAAAGTTAAATTAGCCTCAGAAAATTTTTTATGGTGGCCTCTAAATGACATTATCATTAAAGAGGTCACATGTTTTAAAGTTTGTCTTCCCCTTACTGGAAAAATCCACTCAACTTTTTGGAACTGCAATTCTTTCATTTGTGTTTCATCGTGTCTCAACAGGTTTTGAAAATTTGTTCATCATGAAAAGCATGAAATATATCTTCAAGTATGCGTACAAGGGACAGGACTGCTTCTGTTGAAGTAAGAGACAACCTAGCAGCAGGTCATGAGCAGAATCAAGCTTACAATGAAATTACTAATTATCTTGCTTGCCAATATGTTTCTCCTCTGGAAGCTATGTAGAGACTGTCAGAGTTCAAGCTACATGACACATCTCACAATGTCTACAAACTTGCTGTATATCTTGAAAACCAACAAAAAGGCAATGCTCAGCATGCTGCTAAGGCACAGAGTGACCGTGACACTACCTGCACTGCATGGTTTAAACTGAATGAGCATGATGATGATGCAAGAAATCACTTGTATCCTGACATTCAGCTGCATTATGTTTTAATAAGTGCACTAGAACATGGACACCAAGTCAAAGGAATATCATCAGTAGAATGCATACAGTGAGCCCTACAGACACAGAAAAATTTCACTTGTGAATGTTGCTCCTCCATGTTTCAGGCACCGTGAGCTTCCAGGATTTGAACAATGTAGAAGAAATCTTGCCAATATTTAAGACAGCATGAGATATAGTCTTCTCTCAAATGATGGTATACTGGAACATACATTGCTAGAAGCTGTTGCTAGTCAGATGCCCTTACAGTTGCATGTTCTGTTTGCTGCCCTAAGTATGCATATGAACCCTGCAAATGCTCTTCACTCGTGGACCACTTGCAAGGAATCCATGATTGAAGATTTCTTGCATCAAGGTTTTAATGCAGACCATGCAGAAAACATGGTACTGCACTCAACTAATACAATTTTGATAGAGAACGACATTAATTGTTTAGCAACTGGGCTAAAATTCTAAATTCTATGTGTAGAAAAAGTTTGTTCCCTCAACATTCTAGAAGTTGTTCCATGTAAATTTCATGGTTCCCATTAGTAATAAATTTTATTATTAATAATACAGAAAGAAAAACAACTTGGTCAAACAAAATTACAAAAAAAAACTGGAAGGACAAGGCGTTACATGGCAAATACTTAAAAAGAACAAAAGAAGATGTAAACCAACAGAAGACACATTAGATTGAAAGCTGAGACTGAAGGCCTAACTATTGCAGATCAGAACCAAAGTCACACAACCAGATCTTATCATTGTAACATAATCAAGGATGGAACTAACCCGAAATGCAAAATTTGAAGAAAATACAATGAAACTTGACTATATTATCTCAGGATGCCGGAACAAGGAAAAAATAAATATACCCACAGACATAACAAGGTAGCAACACATGTGCACTGGAAGATATGCAAGAAGCACAAAACCAAAACAACTGAGAGATGATATGAACACCAATCAGACACAATGTAACTATCTTCTGGGACATACTAATTCAAACTGACAGGGAAATAAAAGTCCTGATATTATCATAAAAGCCAAGAAATTTAGGTAGGGTATGCTTATTAACATAGCAGTACCATACAAGAGAAACGCCTCCATAAAAATTATCAAGAAATTGTCCATAGGATATAGGGAATGGAGACTGAGACTGTACCAATAATAATTGGAGCTCTGGGCCTCATGAGTAAAGGAATGGACAATTTTTTGAACAGTGTCCCAGGTAACATCAACATACAAGTTTCCCCAGATCACCCTACTAGGAACATCTTATATACCAAGAAAAGTGTTATCAATTAAATGACAATTCTCCTATAGGGCCTAAGGACCAGAGTTTGGACTCAGCTCTACAGGACACAAAGCAGGAAACATAACATACCCAAATAATAATAATGATGACAACAACAATAATAAAGTGTCTGTTGTACCAGATTCTATCAAACAATTATTTAAAAATAATGTGACATTAACCTTTAAAAGAATTATTTCTCAAATGCATTATCAAGACTTTTCAGGACAAACCATGTACTTGGATAGAAAAGGGAAAAAATCCTTATCTGTTCTAAAAACTATCAAAGTAAGTTTAAATTTATTGCAGTATAATTTTTAGGCAAATAAGTATGCATTTATTTTTTTGAAGATGATTATAGAAAAAAAAAAAAAAAAAAAAAAAATACACTGAAATATTATACATGTTAAACATTTTACAATCAAATTGGTATTGACCAACCAATATTGGTAAAATTTTAAGGTCATATTTATATTTTTGAGAGCAATCATACAAGTCTCAGCTTATATGTATCATTACAAATATTGATAATATCTTGTTTTGGGATTTACTAGTAATATACTGCAAACATACACTTCAATAAATTATTTTATATATTAACCATTTGAGTTACCCTGGATTGTATGGGTCATTACAAAAGTAGAAAATATAATAAGCCAAAGATTGAATGAAACAAAAGCATACTTAAATTTAAAATTCACATTCATTCACAATCCATATTACACATTTTTTTCTACTTATATACATAAAACAACATTCTAATTTAATTATTTACCCGTTATATCATTTTCTTTGAATGTGTAGGCATTTGAAAAAAATATAACTTAATTTAACTTAAATTAGTTATATATGATTAGAAACCACCTTTTTCATTTTGTTCATTAATATGCAGAAACGTATTTGATCTTTTCATTATTCATGTAACATATTTCCATGCAATACATGCATTTTATTGTTAAAATAAATATAAAATAAACTTCAACTGAAACTTTCATAAAATTTAACCCATTTTTGTCTAGTGCATATACAAATTAAAAATTAGTTTAAAATTTACTATTGTTTTTTTTGCAAACAAAATGTTCAACTACGTATCCCAAACTGCAAAAACATGTCAAAATAGTGAAATTGCCTTCAATTTCAACTGCTGATATCTTGTTTATTTTCAAAACTGTAGTGATATGCAAATTAGTATGATTTGCATATGAGCAGGTAGCTCATAATATAAATGGACAACAACTAGAATGGAAGTCGAATGCTTACTTAGCAATATACACGACATAACAATGGTGTCGCCGATAGGATACTCTTTGGTCCTTGAAGACCCAGAGTATGTAGACACGTGGATTCGTTGCTTTGCTGCTAATGCCAGATGTAAAAAGTTGAAAGACAACAAAAACACAGGAGGGGAAAATGAAATCACCGACTTGTTCATGGCTACCGCTGGTTGTGAAGCGATTATGAAGGTTGCTACAATGGTTTACCC